TTTTTATGTTTAATGATGCATAAATTCCAGCCATGAGAAGTAGTGTATGGTTATGTGATGATTTGGTGAAGTTGTGGAAGATTTTGTGTTGAAATTTTTGGAGTGTAGAGAAGTGATGAATTCGGCCAGGTTTGATACTAAAGGTAGTGAGTTTTTGGCTCACAATTTGGTTGATTTAGAGAGTTGTGGAAGTATAGCCAACATGGTAGTTGCATGTGCATATGAAGTGTTTGATGAAAATCCAAAGTGAAAATGCATGCATGAGTTGGCTAAACCCAATTGAAGAAAGGGTTAGAGAAAGGCAAGAATTGAAGTAGGAAGATTATGTTTGGGCTTAACCAAGTGTAAATGTTAATATTCAAGAGTGAATATTGTTATGCCAAAATTTAATATATCACTTGGTCATGTTGTTCCATAAGAGAAATGGCCCTTAGTGCTTGGTTCTAGCCACTTGAACCTTTACTACTTTTTGAATAGCACATGAAAGTGTTAGAAAGGAATTGCAAGTTGAAGTGTTATTTTGATATGGCAATTGTGATAGTAAAGAATTGTAGAAGATGTCATGACATACCATTATGCCATAATGAATTTGCAAGTTTATATATGTGAATTTGAAAAGCATATTAAAGAATGGGCTTAATCATGCATATATGGTGCACATGATATATATGTATAGCCTTGATCTGGTAAATGAGAATATGAAAGAATATGTTAGTAAAGAATGAGAAAGAAAGAAAGGAAAATGACTAATAATTTTCTTTTAAGCTAACATGCAAGTATGTATATTTTCTCATTTACTAAAGAATGCAAGTGTAGAATTTCCCTAGCTGGGAAATTCATGTTGAAATGTGCATAGTATCTCTTTCTATTCTCTTTCTATAGCGTGATATGATATAAGATTTTTGCAATGGGGAACCCGTGAGTGATAGAGATGCCCACATACACACCGCCACGAGCGAGCAGCATCAGTAGAGAGATACAATATTTATACAGTCTGTGAGTGGTGTATGTAGATGAGGACTATACCCAATAGAGCATACCTACATGCACACTGCCACGAGCAAGTGGCCACAGTAGGGAGATACAGTATTTGTACGGTCCGTGAGTAGTGCATGTAGATGAGGACTGTGCCCACTCACATGGCCAAGGTTCCAAATCCATGCATCAGGCTAGTCCGATCGGTAAACCAAAAAGAAGAAAGAAAAGAAAGAGAAACATAGAAGAAAAGAAAGAGATACACCATAAGAGAAACAGAAACAGAAAAGAAAAGAAAGTTCTATTCTTAAGAAAGTTTATTATTTTGCATATGTATTATGCTACTTATATGATTCGGTATTTCTTATGTGCTCGACGATGTACAGTTTTATTCATTGTCTTTGCACGTTGGGAAGTAGCAAATCAGAGTATCAAAAAAGAATGCAGAATATTAGAAAAGAATGAAGAATATTATCAAAGTATAAAGTGAGAAAAGGAAAATCAGAACATGAGTAATGGAGGAAACACAGTAGTGCAGTTTGGTTTACTTATTGAGCAATTAGTGCTTACTCTGTTATTTTACTATTTTGTAGGTACTAGATGATTTACGACCAGGTGGGACGTCAAAAAGCGAAGGAGTTTGGAGGCACTGTTCATGATTACCTTGTGCTTACTAAAGTATATCAGTATTTTGTGTATTTATTTATATGAATTAAAATTAGAATTTTTGGATTTTACATTATGTATATATGTTTATAAAAGATATTTAGTGGATTTTATCATATATTTCTCAAAGAATTACTAGCTATACAGTATATTATTTAGGATACTTTAGGATTGAAAATCTCTAAAAATCCAAACCAAATCCTATGATTTTCCTTTGAAATTTAATGAAGAAAATTGAGAGAAAATGCGGTAAAGGTGGCGTGAACAAGGGCTAAAGGTATGTTAGTGTTTCTTCAAATAAAGCCTTATATCAAATAATATAAACATGTATTCCCATTTTGCCCTTGCACTTTCTACGAAATTTCATCTATATCCTTTAGTCAATTACTAAAATACGCTCATTTTTAATATCTTCTTCACATTATTTTGCTTCCTTTCACTTCCCACTTTTTCATCTAATTAGGAGTGAAAAGACCATTTTACCCCTAATGAACTTTTAAGGAATTTTCTTCACATTTGTTTAAGGTAACTTCAAAGAAATCCAACTAAGGGTATTGAAGCATAAGTAAAATTATGTACCTTGATGTAGGTGCTACAACTCTCCCCTCCTTAAAAGAATTTTGTACCCAAAATTCAAGTGAACAACTCATTATAGTAGTTACGTACATCTTGCTCCACTTCCCATGTAGCTTCTTCGACTGTATGATCCCTCTATAGAACTTTTACTAAGGGAATACTCTTATTTCAGAGCTCTTTAACTTTTATGTCCAGTATCTAAACTGGGCGCTCCTCTTAAACAAAATTCTCCTCTTATTCCACTTCTTCTGCTTTCAAAATATGGGAGGGATCGCTGACATACCTTCGAAGCATTGATACATGGAAAACATTGTGCACTCTATCCATATGTGGTGGTAGCGCTAACTGGTATGCTACTTTTCCTACTCATTGCAATACTTCAAAGGGGCCGATGTATCTAGGGGCAAGTTTCCCATTACCACCAAACCGCATTACCCGCTTGTAGGGGGAAATCTCAATAAACACTTTATTACCCACTAAATTCTACATCCTTTCTCTTTAAATCCGCATAGCTTTTTTGTCTATCTTGAGCTTGCTTCATTCTGTTTCTGATCAACTTAATGTCTTCCATCATTTTCTAAGTTATCTCTAGTCCAAGAGCCGTATTCAAAGCATCTTTCTTTCCTACTTCATCCTAGTGCAGTGGGGATCTACATCGTCTACCATATAGAGCTTCATAAGGAGTCATCTTAATTGTAGAATGATAACTGTTGTTGTAAGCAAACTTTATCAATGGTAGCATCTCATGCCAGGTCATTTTATAATCCATACAACACGTTCTCAGCATGTCCTCAAGCACCTAATTGGTTCTCTCGGTCTGGCCACTCGTCTGTGGGTGGTAAGCTATACTGAATGCTAACCTAGTACCCAAGTTTCACTGTAGACTAGTCCAGAAAGCTGAAACAAATCTAGAATCTCTATTTGATATTATTGTCTTGGGCACCCCATGCAATCTAACTATCTCTCTGATGTAGATCTAGGCCAACTGATCTGAGGTGGTACTGTCCTTTACTGGAAGAAAACACGTTGATTTGGTTAATCTATCTATTATCACCCATAGCGCATTATAATCCATTTGAACTCTTAGAAGGCCTGTAATGAAATCCATTGATATATCTTCCCATTTCCATTCAGGAATGTTGAGTGGCTGAAACAGTCCTAATGGTCTCTGGTGCTCTGCTTTAACCTGTTAACAAACCAGATATTTTGCTACATAATCACCGATATCTTTCTTCATACCTAGCCGCCGATAACTCTTCTTTAAATCTTGATACATTTTAGTTCCTCAAGGATGTGCAATATATAGTGTGTCATGAGCCTCTGTAAGAATCCTCTTTCTTAGCTCAATATCCTGGGGAATGCATATATGGCTCCTAAAACTGAGAACACCAGTTGAAATCTGATACTCTGATATCTTGCCTTCTAACACTTGTCGACTTATTTTCTGACACCACTCGTCGATAGCTTGCTTTTCCTTAATTTCTTCCAATAAAGTATATTGAATTTCTAACCTGGAAATTCTTCCCAGTACCATCTCTATCTGTTCTTTGAGAAATTCTTCCAATAATTCTTTCTACACTGTGAGCTAAGACAAAAAGGCTTTTCTACTCAAGGCATCAGCTACCACATTGGCTTTTCCAGGTTGATACTTGATTTCACAATCATAATCTTTTACTAGCTTCAACCATCTCCTTTGTCTCATATTCAGTTCCTTTTGGGTGAAGAAATACTTCAAACTTTTATGATCAGTAAAAATACTACTCTTTGCCCTATACAAGTAATGCCTCCATATCTTTAATGCAAAGACTACGGTTGCTAACTCTAAATCATGCATAGGGTATCTTGTCTCATATTCTTTCAACTGTTGAGAAGCATAAGCTATTACCCTACCCAATTGCATCAATACAACACCAAGTCCTTGAAGTAAGGCATTTGTATAAATATCATAGTTTACACCTTCCTGTGGTAACACTAGAATAGGAGCTGTGGTGAGTCTTTTTTTAACTCTTGAAAACTCTCTTCACACACATCTAATCATATGAAAGGAGTTCCCTATTTGGTAAGAGCTATAAGCGGCTTAGCCAACTGGGAAAATCCTGCTACAAACCGCTTGTAATAACTTGCAAGCCCCAAGAAACTTCTAACCTCTTTCACTGTCTTCGACCTTGCCACCCTAGGATTGCCTTTACCTTGTTGGGATCTACTAACACACCTTATTTTGAGACAGTGTGGCCCAAAAAATAACTTGATCTAGCTAGAACTCACATTTGGAAAATTTGACATATAGCTTCTTATCTCTCAATCGCTACAGCACAAATCTCAAATGCTCTTCATGCTCTTCTCTTATCTTAGAATAAACCAGGATGTCATCAATAAATACCATTATAAATCGATCAAGACAATCATGAAACATCCGGTTCATTAAATCCACAAAGACTGCTGGGCATTGGTTAACCCAAAAGGCATCACCTTAAACTCATAATGCCCATATCTGATTCGAAATGCAGTCTTGGCATTATGTTGCTCTACAACTCTTACTTGATGATAACCTGACCTCAGATCAATCTTTGAAAACACTGTTGCTCCTTTCAGTTGATTTAATAAATCATCTATGCAAGGTAACGAGTATTTATTCTTCACTGTCATTCTATTTAACTCTTGGTAATATATGCACATCCGTAGTGACCCATCTTTCTTTTTCACAAATAGAATAGGAGCACCCCCGGGAGAATGGCTCGGTCGAATAAAACCCTTGTCTAGGAGTTCTTGGATTGCTTTCTTAATTACTGGAGTTCGGATAGGGCCATACGATAAGGGGCTTTAGAAATCGGTGTTGTCCCTGGTGCCAACTCAATGCTAAACTCCATTTCTCTTTCTGGAGGTAAACCTGGCAAATCATCCAAAAATACATCTGGAAACTCCCGGACTACTAGCACATTTTGGATTTCTGATCGAGGGACATCACTGCTTTGCACCACATGGGCAATATACCCGGAGCACCATTTTCTTAACATCTTCTTGGCATTTACACTACTGATCAACATACTAAGCTGATGGCCATCTCCGAAAATAAACTTATTATCGTCATCAAGATTAAACTTTGCTTTCTTCTTTTGGCAATCAATCTCTACTCCATATCTCCCTAGGAAATCCATGCCCAAAATAACATCAAAGTCGGGCATATCAAATACAATTAAATCCAGTGGTAACATCCTTCCATGGATCACTACGAACTCCCCTGAAAGCATCTCCCGAGTTACCACACTACCACCATCTGGCAATTCTATCTTAATAGGTTGATCTACTGTAATAGGTTTCAAACCCAATCTCTCTATAATCCCATGTGTAATAAATGAGTTCGTGGCTCCAGAATCAACTAATGCATAAAGGGGAACTAAATGAAATAATAACTGACCAGTAACTACAGAGGCGCTGGCCTTGGCTTCACTCTGTGCAACTGTAAATACCTGAGCATTAGTACCTCTAGATGTCTGTGTTGTGGTTGTAGGAGGGGCCTTACAATCTTTCATCATATGTCTGGGCTGTCGGCATCTAAAACACACAACCTTGAGACACTCTCGTGGATGATGTTTCCCACATTTCTGACATTAGGGAAACTTAATAGTCCTCGGCCTTTTATTCTTCCCGTCCCTCCTGTTCCTCTTTGATTGAAATCTTTTCTTATTCTTCCTTTCTCTACTATTGGGGGTATCAAACCTGTCTCTCTGTGGAGCGGGAGGTGGAATACTTGACACTACTGCTGATGGAGTTAATAAAGTCAACTTATTCACAAATACTTCAGCTCGTAAAGCTCGTTCCAAAGCCTCATTATAAGTCTGAGGGGGTTGGGCACTTGCCATCACATCTCGAGCTATTTCTAGATTCAGCCTATGCACAAACTTGTTCATCCTTAATTCTGGTGTGCTCTCTATACCTGGTGCAAACCTCCCCAAGGAATTAAATCCAAAGGAGTGTTCTTTCACTAAACTGATTACCTGACGTAGGCTAAAAAACTCTTGTATCTTTTCATGCATTCTATCAGCTGTCCTATATTCTGCCTCAAAAAGTCGTCTAAAATCTCCCCAACTCATAGTGGCTACATCATGAGTCTCCTCCATCAGCTTCCACAATATCCGAGCATCACTCTTAAATAAGAAACTCGCATAACGGATCTGCTTCCAATCTATCTTGGGAAAAAGTGCTGTCTTACGCTCTACAGATCTAATCCATTTTTCTGCCACTGATGGATCAGTCGTACCCCTAAATTCTGGTGGCTGATATTGACCAGGTAACCCATAAATAGGCTCAAGATGACTCTGTACTATCGGAGGTACCGACCTTTCTCTTTATTCTCTAGTGGCCGGTGCAACAACTGGGGTCTCAACTCTCTCCGATATAGGTCTCCCCTGGCTCTCTGCCAATACCTACTGAATAATGGTATGAATCCTTGCCTCATCGAGGACAGGGGGAGTAGATCCGAACAAGTTGGATGGCTCACTCGTACTTGATGCATTCTTCTTACCGACTCGAGTCATCTATCTCATCTAAAACACATAGCATCAATACCATTAGTCAGCTAATACAAGTGAGAAAAATAATAACTTACAACAATCGGCTACGGTACGTCAACACGGCAAGAGAGGCACACTGTCAATTTCCCAAAATCGATGCTCTGATACCAAAAATGTAATATACTATATAGCTAATAATTCTTTGAGAAATATATGATAAAATCAACTAAATAACTTTTATAAACATATATACATAATGTAAATTCCGAAAATTCTAATTGTAATTCATATAAATATATACACAAAATACTGATATACTATAGTAAGCACAAGGTAATCTTGAACAGTGCCGCCAAACTCCTCCGCTTTTTGACATCACACTCGGTTGTAAATCATCTAGTACCTACAAAACGGTAAAATAACGGAGTGAGCACAATTGCTAAGTAAGTAAACCAAACTACACTACTGTGTTTCCTCCGTTACTCATGTTCTGATTTTCCTTTTCTCACTTTAATCTTTGATAATATTCTTCATTCTTTTTTGATATTATGCATTCTTTTCTGATACTCTGATTTGCTACTTACCAACGTGCAAAGACAATGATTAAAACTGTACATTGTCGAGCACATAAGAAATACTGAATCATGTAAGTAGCATAATACATATGCAAAATAATAAATTTTCCTAAGAAAACAACTTTCTTTTCTTTTCTGTTTCTGTTGTTGTATCTCTTTCTTTTCTTCTCTGTTTCTCTTTCTTTTCTTTCTTCTTTCTGGTTTGCCGATCGGACTAGGTTGATGCATGGATTTGGAACCCTGGCCATGTGAGTGGGTACAATCCTTATCTACATGCACTGTTGACGGACTGTACAAATACTGTATCTCTCTGCTGTGGCCGCTTGCTTGTGGTGGTGTGCATGTAGGTATGCTCTGCTGGGTACAGTCTTCATCCACATACACTACTGATAGACTATACAAATATTGTATCTCTCTGCTATGGCCGCTCACTCGTGGCAGCTTGTATGTGGGCATCTCTATCACTCACAGGTTCTCCATCGCAAAAACCTTATATCATAGCATGCTGCAGAAAGAGAATAGAAAGAGATACTATGTACATTTCAACATGAATTTCCAAGCTATGGAAATTCTTCACTTGCATTCTTTAGTAAATGAGAAACTATTCATACTTGCATGTTAGCTTAAAAGACAATTACTAGTCATTTTCTTTTCTTTCTTTCTCATTCTTTGCTAACATATTCTTTCATATTCTCATTTACTAAATCAAGGCTATACATATATGAAAACGAAAAAATAGGATTAATTTTTATCAATATATCTCTTATCCCTTGTAACAATGACGATTCTCTAAAAAAGAAAAAGAAAATAAAGTAGGAATGTGACAAGATTAAAAAAAAAAAAAAAAATTTAAGAGCTTCCACGTATCTTTAGTTAAACTGTTATAATTAGATCTGTAATAACTTCTTTTCTAATAGTATACTTAGAACATATACTATGAAAAATATACATACTTAATAAATGAAAAGTAGTTGGGCCCAAAACTTTTCTTTACTTAACATATATTATTTTGTACATAGCAAAACCACATATACAAAAACGTTTACAATAGTGGACAGTCATGCCATTTCTCTCCGCTTGTCAACGTCCATCCGATCGCTTCTCACCTATTTCCTGTAACGCACGGAAAAATGACGGGGTGAGCACAAAAATGCTCAGTAAGTAAATCCTCTACTCCTCGATCCCTATGACTTATACTTTGGGTTCTTTCCGTACTCTATTCTTTCTCTTCTTTATTCTTGTCTTTCTATTCTCACTAACCATGATGGAAATCATGGTAATATGCATGAATGCCATGCACATGCAGTAATTCACCGAAATGCCTTTTCTTTTCTTCTTTTCTATTTCTTATTCTGTTTCTTTTCTTGCTTGCTTAAGCTCTTCTTTTCTTTTCTTTTTTTTTCTTGTTGGCTCAAGCTTTCTCATTCTTTCTCATTTTTTCTTATTATGTTCTTTCTTATTCTTATTCTTGTTCTTATTCTTATTCTTATTCTTATTCTTGTTCTTATTCTTATTCTTTTTCTGTGCCGATCGGACTCAGTTGATGCATGGATTTGGAACCTTGGCCGTGTGAGTGAGTACAATCCTCATTTACATGCACTCTTGCGGACTGTAAAAATTATTTATTCTTCTTAGGCCACTCAATTAAGGTGGCGTGCATATAGAAAATTCTTCTTCGTACAGCCCTCATCCACATACACTCTTACAGGCCATACAAATTCTTCTTCTTCTTATGCCACTCAATTAAGGCGGCGTGTATGTGGGAATAAATTCTTCTTAGCACTCACGGGTTCCCCGTCGCAACAACCTATTCTTTTCTCTTCTTTAGCACTTTTCTTTCTTTAATTCTTTAGTGTTTTTCTTTCTTTCTCTTTACTCTTAAAGTTATTTATTCTTTCTTTAAGTTCTTATGCATATGCAAATATATGCATGTGGATGGCTTATACGTATGCTTCTTTCTTAGGTGCAAATATGCAATGTTGCACAAAATTAATTTTCTCTATTAATGCATATGCTTCTCTTAGGCATTTCATCAAACAACAAGCATGCATACTTAAATTCTACTTTAACTATACTTCTCCTTCTTTCTTAAATCATCCATAATTAGAGTAAAACTCCCTTGAATCATCACAAATCCTAGCCAAGAAAATACACTTCATAAATGCTCTTAAACTCTTTCTAAATTCAACCCAACTTCTATCAAATTCTATCAACTCAACCAACCCTTCTCATGTAGAAAACCCATTCATGGATCATCATCAAACTCAATAACAAGTTTCATACACAAATCTCAAGCATATGAACTTCATAAAAAATTCACATAAAACAATCTCTATGCTTTACTTGCTCAAACAAGGGTTAGAGTTGGATTTACTTACCTTTTTTTTGAGTAGTTTCACAAAAGCTCACTATCTTTATTGGACTTGTTCTCTTTCTCAAACCCTAAGCATAAATTCTATAAGAATTCCATACTAACATAAATTAGTCTCATATCTAGAGTAAGAATCCTTACCTCTTGATACTTATGATCAAATCCTTATAAAAATCCAACCAAAAGCCCTCAAATCAACCTTGGAAAATTGATGGAAAGATGAAAGAATCGGGGGTAGAGGTGGTGTGTGGGATAAAGCAAATGAGAAGATTTGTGTGCTTGAACCCTTAATATCTCATGTAATTAAACATTCTTTCCCATTTTGCCCCTATATTTTCTTAAAAAATCCATCCTTGTCCTTTAATTCTTTACAAATACACCCCCACTCCAAAGCATTCTCAATGAAATTTTCTTACATTTCACTCCCCACTTTTCCTGCTAAATAGGGGTAGAATGGTCACTTCACCCCTATGGAAAATTCTCTAGAAACTTTCTAAGAAAAATCAGCCGACTCTTCGTCGCGGCGAAGATTTTTCTTCGCCTTGGCAAAAAATTACAGAACCTACATCGCCACGGTGAAGTTTTTTCTTCGCCCCCGCGAAGTCTGCATTTCCTAAATTCGCCAAGTCTTCACCAAAATCAAGGCATCCACACAACCATATCAACATACAAACTTAACCAAGCACCAAATAACCACATTAAGGGCAAACTAAACATAAATCAAAGACGTACCTCAGAGTGGGCGTTACAAGATCCAAGCTTTTTTTGTGAGAGAACTTATAGCGACAAATCATGGAAAGATAATTCTAAATTGATAGTTCTAAATTCTATTTATCTTCTTACCCTGTTTTTCCTCTCACCTCATCATAAGTTACATAAGCAAATCAATAACAACTCTCGTACTTTAATAAAAAAAATCAATAATGACAGCATGTCCACCATGATTATCATTGAGAAATAAGGAAATAAAGAAAAATAAAAAAGATAAATAAGAAAAATAAAAAAAAGATAAATAAGAAAAATCATCAATGATAAGATGAATGTACCTCAATGAGGCTGATGTGATCCTACCCCCATGCGTCTACACTCAAACACTTTGGGATAGCAGATCCAAAGAAGAGCATCCTACAAAGCTCCAAAATCTGATGATAATAGAGTTGGAAATAAAGACACATAACCAACTTTATGGGGTGTTGAAGGTGAACCCTTTAGGAATTCTTCCAAATCAAACGAAACCTTGATATATTGCACCAAACAAGAACAATGAAAAATCAAAAGAAATCAATAATAATATAAAATGCAAAAATATTGGGAAATGTAAATAATCAATTAACTTGTGTTAAAAGACTCACCTTATCAACATGCAACATAAAGTCAGTGCTTTAATCTTTGAAGACATTGCCTGTAACAACTGCTGAAAACTAGTACAATGCATGCATAATTACAATATAAAATTAGGCCCCAAAATTTCTTTTCATTATAATTCATATGTCTTTTATACACAAAGATTACTGTTTACAAAAATGCATTTTAAAAGACAAAACAGGAGAAACAGTGTAGCTATTCCTCTTCGCTTGCCGACGCCCCTCCGATTGCGTCATCACCTAGAACCTGCATCCACAAAGGAAAATAACGGGGTGAGCACAAAATAATGCTCAGTAAGTAAACCCTCTAACTGTCTGTCCCCGTTTATAACTCTTAACTCTTTAAATTCCAAAAAAAAATTCATTTTATGCTTCCTTAATCATTTGATCCCTGCAAATTTACCATGTCTAATTTCAATTTTGAAATACCTTAGCCACCACCTTCCAATCTCA